GAGCCCTGCGGCGCGACAGTTAGAGTTCCTGGCCCGAAGCTTCTAAAGTACCATGCCCCACGTTAGGACTTTTCGCCAGATCAACTGTGATGTTAAAATTAAGCTCGTAATTTGACTTTAAATTTGCGTTATTGATTTTTGCATCAGACGATATGTAAACCTGTAACGATATGTTACGGTTTTCTGTATCAGTTACAGTTATTTGCATAAAGATCGCATTTTTACATGGAACTATATCGCTGATTGTGAATATTGAAACGAAAAGTACAGAATTTTGTATCACTTTTATAATTTTGAAGCACTGATTCGTAAATTCGTAACATTCTTGACGTGATACAGAATTTAGGATCAAGGATACAAATTTTTGTATCCGACTGACGTGTTACAGAATTTTGTATCAAGATCGTTACAAAATCCTATACTAGGGGTACGCGCCCTTTAGTGTGGGCGCGTAGTGTGGCTGAGCGTTGCGAGTTTGTGCACTTCGGACTTTGCTTAAGTAGACGAAATGCGCAGTTTGTGGGCTCATATTGAGTGGAATGTAGGTCTGAGGTATAACTGGAAGTGATTTTCGTTATCAGCACACAAAAAAATGTTGGGATCAACGTCAAACTCAATTCCGAAATTTTGGTCCAAAATTGATCAAAATTCGGTAATGCGTGAGTCTGGGAAAAATTTGGAGGTGATTTTTGAGTTCAGCACACCAAAAACTGCAGGAAACAATATAAAACTCGATTTGAAAATTTTGGTCCAAAACGACCTAATTTGGGATGAAAATAGAAGTCTGGAGTCGAAATGGAGGTGATTTTCGTTATCAGAACACAAAAAACTGTTGGAATCAACATCAAACTCAATTCAAAAATTTTGGTCCAAATTTGGTCAAAATTAGGTAAAGCGTGAGTCTGGGAAAACTTTGGAGGCCATTTTTGAGTTTAGCACACCAAAAAGTGCAGGAATCAATATAAATCTCGATATGAAAATTTTGGCCCAAAATGACCTAATGTGGGGTGAAAATACAAGTCTGGAGTAGAAATGGAAGTGGTTTTCATGATCAGCACCCCCAAAAACTGCAAGAATCAATAATAGATTCATTTGAAACGTATTGATATAAAACTGGTTAATTATGGGTAATGTACGGGTCTGGGTTGGTCTTCATGGATCACCCTTTGTCATCACCAATTCCCTAATGCCACACCAATGCGATTCTTTCAGTCGAGTAACATTCCATTGCCAGCATTGAATCGCTTTATTGACTTCTTGTCTGCTTGAGTCACTATTCGATATATCTTTTTCTTCAAACTAATGAATTCACAAATTTATTAGTTATATTTGAGAAGCCCTTTGTCATTCTTTCATTTCAAACAAGTGAATTGAATAATAATAATGACTGGAATATGTAATCATAGTTTATATGAAGTGACTCAGTTTTGGGCAGGCTGATCTGAAGCAGTCGACGGGGACCAAGTTTTGTCAAATTCAGTGAATCGTCTCCTGAAGTGCAATGCAGAGGCCACTTGTTGCTCAATACGCCAACATAATTTATCTTGTTCATGTCTCGTGATATTTTATCTTTGGAGTAAAAGATGACAGTATGGTATTAACATTGGGCATTGGGCTTACGCTCAGAGAGCCAGCTTTTAAACCATTACCAACACTTAGTTCCAGTTGTCGGACACAAATTTTGGTGAAGTGGGAGAAATCGTCTCATTAAATCAGATTACCAAGTCACCTAACGCTCAAAACCTGAATCGTCTCATTGCACCCAATATCAATTCAAAATTTGCTAGCACTAAATAGATGGATTATTTATTGCACTAAATACATCTATATATGGATTCTTTTAGTCAATAGATCTTAGAACTAGAATATTTATGTTAGCTTGAAGCATTGCAATAGAATGTCATTTCCCAAGTCAAACCAAGACATTTAACATGTCTTCTAATTTCAACAGAAGTTATTCATGCATTTACCTGATTTGATTTAATATGAAATTTAAAAATAAGGATAGTATCAGAGAGAATAAAATCAGTAGATGCACACAAAGGCAAAGAAAACATTCTAGTTAGAATCCACAACTACACTCACAGTGCACTGACCTGAAGGCAGATTCCCCTGTGACGGGGAAGGGGGGAGAGGGGTACGAAACACGCAATCCATTCTTACATTCATTTTTCGTATTTTCCTCTGTTGACACTCCGGAAGGGTTTTAATCATTCTAGAACGTTGAAAAACTAACTCAGAACCTATTTGAGAGCCCTTTTGCTCTTCAGTTTGTTTTATTTGCAGAAGTGCCGTCCCGTCTTGCAGACGCTTGCAAGCGCGGCAGCAGGTATGAGAAATTGGTCAGCCACACACTGCTACCAACCTAACAACGCTAATAACCGAGTTCAAAACGATGTTTTGAATATTTCAAACGATACTAAACAACGATTTGAAACAAACTCGTGTTGGGGGGAACTAAGACGACGTTAAATACGAAATGTTGGAACTATAGCCCCTGTAGTTGCTGAGAATCGTTGGTGAGTACAAACAGACTCACAGACAGACAGACAGACAAAACGCCAAACTGCTGGCATCACGTCCTATCACATTTAAGTCTCTCAGACAAAAACTATTAGTAGTATCGGGCTGAAATTTGGAGGGGTTGTTCTTGGAGGCTGCCCCCAGCCACCGAAACGATTGTTTTTCGCACAGCACCTCATGTGGCTCGTACAGAAGCATAAAATGGTCAACAACGTTTTTAGGGGGGTGGGGGCGTTCAAGGGGGTGGGGGTCAAATTTAACACCTGCAAAGTGAAGTCCTCCCTAACAGGTAACTACCTACAAAATTTGAACTCAATCGGTCCAGCGGTTTAGGCGCAGTGAAACCTAAAATGTTAGCCTCATGACGACCCCCCTCCCCCCTCCCCCCCCCACCCCCAGCCCCGGCCGCCCGGAGGACAGACGCACGACCAGCCGCCTTTCGGCGCCCCCAAACACGGCAAGGGCTTCGCTAACGCTCAGCCAATTATTTTTTAGAGTGTTGGCAAACTTCTTACTTCTGCCAATCCTCCTTCTTCCGTACCGCGTCCGGCTTATTCTGCATCCTCTACAGAAAGGGAAACTTTTTTTATTTGCGTTATTGGGTCCACACGCGGCCGTACCAAGCATGTGCCCCTTACGTCGCCTGCCGAGGGGACTACACTGTGAAAAAAATGACTTGGAGGTGGTCGATTTTCTTGGCAGTGCCATTTTGGCGAGGAGTGTGGGTCCTTTACCCACAAAGGATTTCGTCGAGGAAACTAAAACCAACCATTTTCAGTTAAAATTTTTCCCGGTGTGGTCGATAAAAAACTAAGGCTTTTAATTTAAATTTTCCTTCTGTTCTTCGATTTTCAACGTAGCACGGTGGGCCAGAAGACCGGTGGAGGCGGCCAAAACTCTAGACGCGTTTTGAGCTCCAGAGTCGCGAAATGGGACTCGAACCGAACGTGTGACCCCACCAATGGATTGCTCTCCGAACAAGGAATCCAGTGGTGGGGTCACACGTTCGGTTCGAGTCCCATTCAGCGACTCTCGAGCTCAAAACGCGTCTAGTGTTTTGTCCGCCTCCAGGTCTTCTGGCCCACTGTGTGGCTGCGGGCTGTAGCGCCCGCGGAGTCGAGCGTAGGCAAGCCCGTAAAACAGGGCAGTCGGGCGGGCTGGCCTACGCTCGACTCCACAGGCGCTACGCCTCCGGGCCGCCTCGCCTCGGACCCGGAGCGCAGCGCCGTGGAACCAAACGCAGTCTGTAACGTGCAAACCAAGAGAGGCCCGCAGGGCCCTCCTTTGAGCTGGCCAGCCAGAGAGAGAGAGAGAGAGAGAGAGAGAGAGAGAGAGAAGGCACACGTAAGACACATGCGGGTCAACCGAGCCTCGGCGGCAAAACAAGCGAAAAACATCCCACAGCCTCGCTGGACACCCCCATGGCAGGCAGTGCAGGCGGTGCCTGGCGGTGCCAGCACACTCTCAGCCGGAACCCCTGTTTCCGCTTTTCCGGTCGCTGGGTCCGCCCGGAAATCGGTGCCTTCCAGGCCACAGTGGGCCAGAAGACCGGTGGAGGCGGCCAAAGCTCCGAATGCGTTTTGAGCTCCAGAGACGCTAAATGGGACTCGAACCGAACGTGTGACCCCACCAATGGACTGCTCTCCGAACGAGGAATCCATTGGTGGGGTCACACGTTCGGTTCGAGTCCTGTTTAGCGACTCTGGAGCTCAAAACGCGTCTAGAGTTTTGGCCACCTCCACCGGTCTTCTGGCCCACCGTGCAGGCCTGGCCAGGGCAGGGAACGGAGCGCCTCGCACTAAGCGCTGTTTCCGAGGCCGGGCACGCGACGACAACCTTTAGAGTAATCAATTAGGCGGACTAATGCCAGGGACCAGCGCAGGCTCACTGTGAGAAAAAAGTGCGGAAAAAGTACGGAACATGTCTGGTCAATAATTTGCCTGGACCGTCCGTACTTGCCAACCAAGGAACGTTCCGTACTTCTTTTCCGTACCCATTTACATGGGTTCATATGGAGCAAGTAGGGAACGTTCCGTACTTTTCTCCGTACCTCCGTACTTTCTTTTCTATACCATTTCTGTACAAAAGTACGGAATTTTTTACAGTGCTGAACGCGTTGGTTCGTTTGATCATGCTGTCTCTTTGCAGTCAACGCAGTCAACGTAGTCTCGGCGCGAATTTCCCGCCCCTCAATCCCCTTTCGAAAACCGCCTCAAGGGGCGCGAACACCCACCCTCACGCGCGCACGCACACACACAAACACACACACACACACACACACACACAGAGCAGCAGCCCCAATCCAGTCCATCAAGAACAATCAACCCATGGTCACGGTCGTGGTGAACAGCGCCGTCGCCGAGGCGGGGCGGGGCGGGGCGGGGTGGGGCAAAGTGGTCTGTGGGGTGGATTGGGCCAAACACAAGCGGGCTCACGACGGCAAAGGCAATAAGGCAATTTTCTTCTCGGTTTGTTGGCAGGCCTGGAGATGACGCTGCTCGTGGACCTTCCTCAGGTAAGGGCATCCTCCCGGCGGCGCACAGTGGGCCAGAAGACCGGCGCAGTCGGCCGAATCTCTAGACGCGTTTTGAGCTCCAGAGTCACGAAAAAGGGCTCAACTCGAACGAGTGATACCGACAAAGGATTGGTCTCCGAACGAGGAATCCATTGGTCGCACGCTCGGTTCGAGTCCCATTTAGTGACTCTGGAGCTCAAAGCGCGTCCGGATTTTGGACGCCTCCGCCGGTCTTCTGGCCCACACTCTACCAAAAATGTCCTGTAAATGCCGTTAATTTATTACCAGTTTTCACTGTAGGTCAATTCACAGCGTTTACTGTGATCTGCTCACGGGATTCACTGTGATCTTGTTCGCGGTGTTCACTGTCATCTGGTCCCCAGTAAACACTGTGAGTTTGACGCCGCTGAGCACCGAAGGACTGCAAATCAGGCTCCAATTCACGGCGTTTACTGTGGCCAGATCACAGTGAACACTGTAACCGAGATCACAGTGAACGCCGTGAACTAGTTCACAGCAAACGCCGTGAATTGCATAACAGCAAACATTGGCAATAAATTAACGGCGTTGACAGGACATTTTTTGTAGAGTGCACGGTGCGGCACCGCGCGCTAGTTTCGACGTTTGTCACGTTGGTACTGTGGCGTTACACGTTTGTTATGTTGGCAGTGAGCCATGACGGAATGGCCGCCGCCCACCAACTGGACGGAGATCTCCTCCACCGTCGCGGCGGACGAGGAGGAGGAGGGGTTGGCACACCTGCAGCGCGTCGCCGTGCTGGTCTGGCTGTACGGCGTGGTGCTCACGGTCAGTCTTAACGCGTCGCGGCGCAGCCAGGCGCGGCGCGCGGCGCGGGTTCGACTCCCGGCGGGGCCGTTCCGGTTTTGTGCGAGGCGCGACGGCGCGGAAATCGATAGCGAAGGGAACGCGCTTACGTGTTATCCACATAAAACCAGAGCCGGCAACTGAAACGAGAAAAAAAATGGCCCACCGACGCCGCAGCACGGAACGCCACGTCATTTTCTCGACGCCAAAGTCTGGCAGTGTGCGCAACATAGCAGCAGACTGATTCCGAGATTCGCCGCTCTGTCCCTCTCGGACCTTCACGGGACGTCCCGGGAGTACGAGAGAGCCAGAGCGACGGAAACGACTCTCGGAATCAGTCTGCTGGCTGGATCGGAATGTGGGGCTTGGTGGGGACGCGGGGCGGTTGCCGCAGAGGCAGCAGTTGAAGGGTTTGCTGCATCGGGGCAGACAAAGCAGGCTCCTCGCTCGCAGGCAGTGCTTCCACCTCCTCGACCCGGCTCTCCACGAGACCCCGTGCCGCGCCGTGCCGCGCCGTGCCGCGCCGTGCCGCGCCGTGCCCACAGGATCCACGGGGTGCACGGCGTGCTCCAGGCCGAGCTTAGTAGTGATAAAGCCCTGCTCCATGCTCTTCCTCCACAGTGGGCCAGTAGACCGGCGCCGGCGGCCAAAACTCCAGACGCATTTTGAGCTCCAGAGTCACAAAGCGGGACTCGAACCGAACGTGTGACCCCACCAATGGATTGCTCTCCGAACGAGGAGTCCATTGGTGGGGTCACACGTTCGGTTCGAGTCGCATCCAGCCTGGAGGCTCCAGGCCCGGCGCAGCCCGCATGGCCGGCCGGCCGACCTGGCTGTGTGCTCAGCCCGATTACAGTGCAGTGTGCCGAAGCCGCTAAACTCGCCGTCAGCCCGTCGGTGTGAGTGCGGACTGAATGTGGGTCGCTCATCACAGGGACCATTGACGGGAGCGGCAGAGCGGCCGGGTGGCGGGCTTCAATCGCTTCAATGCGGAGGCATGGCGGAGCAGTGCGGAGCCGGGGAAGTAGAGTTCGAAGGGGACCGGCGTGCATTGTGGCCACCCTGCGCGCTAGCGCGCCACACCGCACATGTCGAAAGGGTTGCCAACCTCAGCCTGCCAACGAGGCAACTTGACATTGTCTAGTCGGCAGGCTGAGGTTGGCAACCCCTTCGACACTGCAAAGTGCTTGTTAGGTTAATCATGATTTATTTTGTCAGGTTGGCGTGGTGGGTAACGTGGCCATCGTGGCGGCCATCACGTCGCAGCCCGGCGGCCGGTCGCGGTCGCTGCTGCTGCTGCAGCTGTGCGCCTCCGACCTGCTCGTCTGCGGCGTCACCGTGCCCGTGTCCGCGGCCGCCGTGGCCTCCGCGTCGTGGACGCTCGGCACCGTCGCCTGCAAGATCGCCTTCTTCTTCCAGGTACAGTGGAGACGCACAGTGGGCCAGAAGACCGGCGGAGGCGGCCAAAACTCTAGACGCGTGCACAGCTCCAGAGTCGCTTAGCAGGGTTCGAACCGAGCGTGTGACCCCACCAATGGATTCCTTGTTCAAAAGCTCCTTGTGGGGTCCCTCGGCGGTCATTTCGACTCTGGAGCTCAAACGCGACAGAGTTTGGGCACCTCCGTGGTCTTTGACTTGAGGCGGAAACGCATTTTGAGCTCCAGGCGCTAACGGGATCGAACCGAAAGTGTGACCCCACCTATGGATTCCTCGTTCAGGAGCAACCAGGGGGTCACACGCTCGGTCGAGTCCTGCTTAGGGTCTGGAGCTCCAAACGCATCATCATTCGAGGTGGTAACCACTCGCGTAATACCTGTACACTAAAACCGTTACGCGTAATACACGTGACGAATACCATGGGTCAAAGTGCCAAATTTTGGCATTTTAGGGCCGTAACAGTGTTCAGTAATACGCGTTCGGTGTCGCACGACGTAAGTGTTTACCCTCGCTTGACCAGGGGAGAAAAAAAACTTGTCTTCCAACGAGCCGTGGGCAGCACGCTGTCGCTGATGATGCTGTCCCTGGACCGCTACGCCGCCGTCAAGCACCCCCGCGTGCTGGCCAAGATGGGCCGCCAGAGCGGCCTCCCCGCCGCCACGCGGGTCTCGCCGCGCCGTGGGCCTGATGCCGTCAGGACCTCACCGTGTGAGTTCCGGCCACAGGGCTCAACCCCCTCGTTCACATGTTTTTAGGGAAAAACCCTATTGTCGAGGTCGCGATTCTTCCAGGTTCTGGAAAAGCCCAAGTACCACCTGTTAGAGGAGAACGATCAGCCGCCTTAGATTAGACGCAGTGGTTGCCTAGGCCAAAGCGCAATTTCTACACATTTGTTACCGTTTCGACAAACTTTGCTGCAATACTGCTCCCAAACTAAGGCGGCTAATCGCACTCCGTAACAAAGGTGTTCTAAAGGAAGGCCCAAAGATAAACCACCCGTTGAGGGAGAACGATTATCCGCCTTAGGTTGAACGCAGTGGCTGCCTAAAGTCAGGCCAAAGCACAATTTCTACACATTTGTTACCGTTTCGACAAACTTTGCTGCAATACTGCTCCCAAACTAAGGCGGCTAATCGCACTCCGTAACAAAGGTGTTCTAAAGGAAGGCCCAAAGATAAACCACCCGTTGAGGGAGAACGATTATCCGCCTTAGGTTGAACGCAGTGGCTGCCTAAAGTCAGGCCAAAGCACAATGTCTAAACATTTGTTACCGTTTCGACAAACTTTGCTGCAATACTGCTCCCAAACTAAGGCGGCTAATCGCACTCCGTAACAAAGGTGTTCTAAAGGAAGGCCCAAAGATAAACCACTCGTTGAGGGAGAACGATTATCCGCCTTAGGTTGAACGCAGTGGCTGCCTAAAGTCAGGCCAAAGCACAATGTCTAAACATTTGTTACCGTTTCGACAAACTTTGCTGCAATACTGCTCCCAAACTAAGGCGGCTAATCGCACTCCGCAACACAGGTGCCTTAAGTCAGGCGGTATGTTCGCAGGGCGGGACGTGCGAGGAGGAGTGGGGGAGCGCGTCACTGCGCACGGCCTACGTGCTGAGCCACATCGGGCTGGTGTACCTGGTGCCGTGCCTGACGGTGGCGGGCTGCCACTGGGCCGTGGGCAGCAAGCTGTGCGCCGCCGCCACCTCCAGCGCCGCCGCCACGGCCGCCGCCCCCGTCGCGGGGCTGCCGCTGCCCCTGCCGAGACGGCCGCGACAGGTAAGCGGCGGTGTCAACCACGCGGGGTATCGCCGCGCAGTGGGCCAGAAGACCGGTGGAGGCGGACAAAACTCCAGGACGCGCTTTGAGTTCCAGAGTCGCAAAGCAGGACTCGAACCGAACGTGTGACCCCACCAATGGATTCCTCGTCCGGAGAGCAATCCATTGGTCGGGTCACACGTTCGGTTCGAGTCCCATTTAGCGACTCTGGAGCTCAAAACGCGTCTTGGCCGCCTCCACCGGCCTTCTGGCCCACTGCACGCCGGCCGCGCTGACGGCGCTGACGCCCTGCTGCAGGTCATCATCGTGGCGGACGGGCAGTCCAAGGTGGTGCCGCTGCACGGCGCGGGCGACGGCGACTCCGACGACGACGACGCGCACAACGAGCAGATCCGCGCCGACCTGGCGGAGCGGCAGCGGCGGCCGCGGAAGCCTCGGGACCGGCACGGGCCGCGCGCCCCCCGCGTCCGGAGGGCGTCCAGGTACAGTCCAACACGCTCTACAAACTCAAGTGTACACAAAGTACACTCCAAACTGGAGTGTACTTAGCATGTACACTCCCGGTTGGCGTGTACTTGGCATGTACACTCCAGGTTGGCAGGGAGCCAGCAACAGTGTACCTGAAGGTATGCGCCACCTAGCGTGTACTTGGCAAGTACACGCCAACCAGCAGTGTACATGCCAAGTACACGCCAAGTACATGCTAAGTGCACTCCAGGTTGGAGTGTGCATGTACACTCCAGGTGGAGTGTACTATGTACACACTTGAGTTTGTAGAGACGCACAGAAAAGAAACAAGAAAAAAGTTGACGAGCTGATCGGGACTCGAACCCCGCACCCCCAGGTCGGAGAGGGCGATCGTCCGAGCGAACCGGCGCCTCCGCCGGCCGCCGCTGGTGAAGCAGGCCTCCAGGCAGTCCCTGCAGAGTCGCCGGCGGCTCGCCAAGCTGCTGGTGGCGCTCGGGGGCGTCTTCGCCACCTGCTGGCTGCCCTACGTCGTCGTGAGGGTGTTCGCCGAGCTGGCCGCCGACGGCGAGGTGCGTGGACCCGACCGCCCCTCCTGCGGCGTCCCACAGTGAACCGGACGACCGGTGGAGGCGGCCAAAACTCCAGACGTGTTTTGATCTTCAGAGTCGCTCAACAGGCCTCGAACCGAACGTGTGACCCCACCAATGGATTCCTCATTCGGAGAGCAATCCATTGGTGGGGTCACACGATCGGTTCGAGTCCCGTTTAGCGACTCCGGAGATCAAAACGCGTCTAGAGTTTTGACCACCTCCACCGGTCTTCCGGCCCACTGAGCGTCCGCGGACGCGTGTGCTGTCCGGTGACCTCCGAGGTGACCTCGTTGTGCTCGCAGTCGGTGCGCGAGCTGCTGCCCTTCGTGCTGCTGCTGGGGCACACGCACTCCGCCATCAACCCGGTGGTGTACTGGCTGCTGAACCGCCAGACGCTGCGCTGGCCCGCCATCTCGGCCCGCTGCACCTCCTGCCCGTGCTTCATGGGCGACCTGCCGCTCAGGTACGCAAATAAAAAAGAGAATCCCAGCTTTTAAAAACATTAAGAGAGTGGGATTTGAACCCGTGACTTTTCTCTTTTAGGTGGCCGACGTTCCCCGGACGCCGCGACGCCCGCCTGGACTGGAACCCCCGCGCGTCGTCCACCAACGAGGCGGCCTTGGGGGCCTTCCACCCCAAGTACAACAAGGCCCGGCCGCAGCAGGCCGAGTACTGCCGGCCGAGGGCCTCGTCCGTCTTCCTCAACTAGGAGGCCGACGTGCAGTGGGCCAGCAAGCCGCTGGCGGCGGCCAAAAGTGCCGGACGCGTTTTGAGCTCCAGAGTCGCTAAGAGGGACTCGAACCGAACGTGTGACCCCACCAATGGATTGCTCTCCGAACGAGGAATCCATTGGTGGGGTCACACGTTCGGTTCGAGTGCTATTCAGCGACTCTGGAGGTCAAAACGTGACTAGTGTTCTGGCCGCCGGCGCCGGTCCTCTGGCAAATCCACTGTGTGCTGTCAGAGTCGCAAACGAGCAGCAACTTTAGCTTTTCCGTTGTACGTTATCTTTGGTTTCGTTGAGTTCTCCATTCGCCCGGCGTTGCGAGCGTTGCGCCAGTGGGTCCACTAACTGTGCAGCATTCGTACATAACAGCGTATCTACCGTGGCACAGTGGGCCAGAAGACCGGTGGAGGCGGTCAAAACTGTAGACGCGTTTTGAGCTCCAGAGTCTCTGAATGGGACTCGATCCGAACGTGTGACCCCACCAATGGATTGCTCTCCGAACGAGGAATTCATTGGTGGGGTCACACGTTCGGTTCGAGTCCTGTTTAGCGACTCTGGAGCTCGAAACGCGTCTAGTGTTTTGGCCTCCTCCACCGGTCTTTTCTGGCCCACTGTGCGTGGGATTCCCTATGAAGATACGTTGCTCTGTCAGATGATCACTCCACTGACTGTTAGTGTCGCGGGTGCGCTTCGCGGCGCAATGCCTCCGCCGACCAGTCCCGATTAGCTCTACGCTCACTAGTCGTGTAAATAACCGTTAGAAAAGCAGCCGCGGATTAAAATTAAGGGATCAAACAGACGATTCTAGTTTGGCGCGGATTTCGATACTACTGTTTTGCAACGGCTGTTGGAATTTCAATGTTTAACAAAATGTATACATAATATGAGTGCATTGCTATCGAATGTGCTGCACTTAATTTTTGCTCATAGCGGCGTTCGAAAATAAGTACGTATAATTCCATACTAGATATCTTGTTTAATCTTATTGTATGTTTATTGTTACTCGTAAGAAGTACGGCAGCGACGCCGCAGCGACGAATTTAAAACGTACGTCATGTCGTCTGCAACGCATGTGCGATTGCATGGGCAGCTACGTGTTACTTCATTGTGTGAACCAATCATAGGATCTCTGTAGTGAATTCATAGTTAGTTCCATATGATCTGTATGGAGGCAGGGGGTCTGTGAAGAGAGCTGTTTTGGCTTTTCTAAGGCAGGTCTGGTGAAGGGTTGCCTACCCAACGAGAAAACGGCTGCGCGTGATAGCGTTCGAAGCGCCCGGTGGGTAGGCAACCCAACCTACAGCCTCACAGTCAATAAAGTATGTTTTAAGCTTCGGTAACCTTTACATACGAGTGAAATTGTATCTAAAAATATGTTAATCCCTTCTGTGCATATCGTATCGATGTAGTGAGATGATTGTATCCTATTCCATTCTTATTGAGTAAATTGATGGCTGTTTGATCTTGTAACCGTAGACAAGTCGAGTATATCTCATTTGTACCAAAGTGTGACCTTCCATAGCGTTCCCCTTCTCTTCTGTAGAACATTGTGATATTGTACTGGCTCTTCCTAGGTCGACAGCGCGATCGTCTGGGCAATCGACCTCATCGCCACTGTCTGTAGGGCTTCGAGTGTGTCTGCCTGTCTGACTGTCCTTGAGTTGCAACACTGTATTTTTTAATTTATTTTTTCATGAGTCGTGAGTATTGAAAAATGGCTGAATGTTCGTCCAAAACTTTTGCAGAGACTGTCCTTTAATTTTGTATTGTGTATGCGGATGTCTATTCTTTGAACGTGGCAAAATAAAACTATATGATGACCTATCGTTTGTGTCGCCTTTTGCTTTGGTTTCCCGCTGGAAATTCATATAGAAAATAATATGGAGGGACGATAATCACACTGCAGATCAGACATGCCCACTGGTGAGCCAATCTTTGTTCCTCCTTCGAACGCAAACCGCGCCAAAAGCACTTAAGGAGTCTGACCGGTCTGCGCTGGGGGCTCGGCCGCGGCGATACTCCCTGCTCGCGCAGAGGCAGCCAGACAGCTAGCGCCACTGCGCGGCCGGGCGGCGAACCACCTCGAGCGTGGCGTGCGTGGCACAGTGGGCCCGGTGGAGGCGGCCAAAACTCTAGACGCGTTTTGAGCTCTAGGGTTGCTAAATAGGACTCGAACCGGACGTGTGAACCCACCAATGGATTCCTCGTTCCGAGAGCAATCCTTTGGTGGGGTCACACGTTCGGTCCGAGTCCCATTTAGCGACTCTGGAGCTCAAAACGCGTCTAGCGTTTTGTCCGCCTCCGCCGGTCTTCTGGCCCACTGTGCGCTGCACCGAGACGCCCAACGCCCACCCATTCAAGACGAACACGAGCTTCTGAAAGCCGTGCCCGCGGTGGCGTGCCGGACTCGAATGTCAAAGTGGAAATAATATTTAGGGCTGTTGGCGAGATTGTTGAAGCTTTCAAGGGCGAGGGGTCTGTCAGCGGGAATACTCCCCGTCTGCGTTCGGCCGCAGCTCCAGCTGAGCTAAGCTCAACAAAAACAACAACAACAACAACAACAATAACAACAACCGTTTATATTCTCTCACACCTAATTTCCCAAGCCGTCCTTGAGGGCACCTGCTGGCTGTTTACAGGCAGCCACCCACTACACTACATGCACTAGCCGATACCGCTGGCGACCTACCCCACTCACTCAGTCACTGGGCAGCCCTGGGCAGCCCTGGGCAGCCCGCGCACTGCGGTCAGCCGTCGGGTCGCTCTGTCTCTCTCGCACGCGCTGCGCCCTGGGTGCGCCCCGGCGTGGTGGCCTTAACCCTTTCCGGCTTGGCGGCGCTTGGCGGCTTGCATCGGATTGGTCGGTCGATTGTGTCTCGCCGTATCAGCGGCGAATATCTCGTTTGCAGTGAACGCGACGACGCACAGTGGGCCAGAAGACCGGTGGAGGCGGCCAAAGCTCTAGACGCGTTTTGAGCTCCAGAGTCGCTGAACAGGACTCGAACCGAACGTTTGACCCCACCAATGGATTCCTCGTCCGGAGAGCAATCCATTGGTGGGGTCACACGTTCGGTTCGAGTGCGATTTAGCGGCCACTGGTGCATCGGGGTACGTCATCTTTGCCCTTTCACGTGTCAACACTGCTCGAACGGCGTGGTCGGCGGTTCGAACTCGGCGTCAGGTCGCATGTTCCAAGGCTGGCTGACCCCCTTCTTGCGTTATGTGCCTTTCCAGTGGAGTTTCGGGCCGAAGGGCGACGCGGGCGACGCCGGCCCGTGCGTGCGTCGGTACCACTTTGCATGGCGGGGTTGGTACCGCCGCCGGGCCGCCCGGTCGGCGCGCCAGTTCGCCAGTTGGCAGCCCTGGCGCTCGCTTGGCGCGGCGCGGCGTGGCGCGGCGGGGTTGTTTTCCGCGCCGTTCAGTGGCGCGTTCCTCTTGTCGTCGTCGGGCACCTCGGCCACCTCCGCGACGCCGCCGCCCGTCGCCAGCGTCGCCAGGACCGGGTCTTCGGGGCCTTCGGGCCTCGCGCCCTCGGGGTGGCGCCGAGTGGCGGCGGCTAGGCGGCCCTCCTGCCAGTTTCTGTTCAGTGCTCCCGGGGCGCCGTCGGCTCGCGGACGCAACGACCGGCACACCGTTGCGCGGCGCGGGGGAGCGGCCAGCCAGCCGCCCATTTCGCGGTGTGCGCGCGGGCCTTCCGGGCCGCCGGGCCGGTGCAGCCACACTGCAGCGCGCAGTGCGGAACGAGGCCCAGCCCACCTCCAGAGGCAACAACAACAACAACAACAGGCACGGCGTCAGCTGACACGGCGACAGCAACAGTGCATCGGCGCGGCGCGGCAGCCTCGAGCACCGACTGGTCCACTGGTCCACGCCGGCATTGTCGCGGAGAGCGCGGCGGTAGCGCCGCAGCGATCGGAACCACCTTCGCCTCAACTCGGCACCGTTTTGGCGCCGTCATGGCTGTCGGCCGACTGCACGTCATCGGCCACACCGCCTTGTGAACGTGCGAAGCGGTCCCGATAGCGCCATCGCCTGCCCGCCCGTCTGTCTGTCTGTCTGTCTGTCTGTCTGTCTGTCTGTCTGTCTGTCTGTCTGTCTGTCTGTCGTCTGTCTGTCTGTCTGTCTGTCTGTCTGTCTGTCTGCAGTCTGTCTGTCTCTGTCTGTCTGTTTATAAAAATGTTTTAACTCTGTCTGTCTGTCTGTCTGTCTGTCTATCCGCCTGTCTGTCTGTCTGTCTGTCTGTCTGTCTGTCTGTCTGTCTGTCTCTCTGTCCGTCCGTCCGTCTGCGGTGGGACTGTCCGACCGCCAGGGACAATGTGAGACGAATCGGCAAAAATGAAGGGAAAGAAAAGAAAGAGGCGGTGAAGCGTGAAGTCGCCGAGAAGGCGGAGTGCGAAAAAATGGTGTGCAAGTGAAGTGCTATTACAGTGCAGTGTACAGTGGTTGTGAAATGTGTCGGGCGGCGTGGGCGTTCTTGGGCCCGCCGAAGCGCCGTCTTCGCGCGATGGACATCCCGTGAGCCTCCCTGCCTGGCCTGACAGAGGTAAGTCACATCGTTTTTATTTCATTTGTTTGTCTATTATTTTGGTGTGTGTGGATACACTGATAGCGCGGGGCAATTCAAACGGGTTGTCACGCCACTGGAGAAAAGGGCGGGAAGCTCAAACGCCGGCCACTTCCACTGGCGTAAACGGAGGCAGAGGACTGTTTCGGATGCTTTGATCCACCCGCGAAACTTGACCGTCCATAAATAATAATTAGGGCATGTCGTCGGCGGTTTTATCCCGTCTCATTGCATAATGGGAAGGGACTCTGACAGCTCGACAGTTGGCCGAAGGGGAGGGGGGGGGGACGTGAGTGGTAGACTGTTGTTTGATATGACAGGACACGGGACGCACATGTGCCATTGTATGGCGCTCCTATGTCACCATTCAGGAGCTTTGACAGGTGTGTGCGTGTGTGTATATGTGTGTGTGTGTGATATTTTCCTCGTTACATCAAGACCGCCCCGGGGAGGTGCCGTGATTATGACGGTACAC